TAGCAGGAGGTGTCCCTGCCATGGCAGGGGTGGAACAGGATGGGCTTTAGGGTCCCTTCCCAGCCACACCGTTCTGGGGCTCTTTCTCCCTGCTACAGAGCAAAACCTGGGGACACCCCGATACCTGGGGTGATTTTAAACTTCAAGAATCTTCTCTGGAAGGCAAGAGGAGTGTTGTGTTCGCTGTGCTCACTGTGTGTTTGTTTGCTCCTGCAGGAGAGGGGAGCGCTGGGCTTCGAGCGGCACTACCACGTCACCGACCCCTTCATCCGCCGCCTGGGGCTGGAGGCTGAGCTGCAGGTGAGTGTCACACCAGCTCCTTGGGGGGCACCTTTCTGAGGAGTGTGGAATTCTATCTTCTGTGAGGTAAATACTGATCTCTTAGTCCCCCAAACTGCACTAGAGCTGGGAATAGCTCAGTGAGCTTTCTGTACCACTTGGTGCACTTCAGCAGGCTGGACATCACCTAATCCCAGCCCTGGTGCCTGAAGGAGGCAATTGTCAGCTGCTCAGCATACTCAGCTCTAATGGRTTCCCTGAGGAACAGGTTGYAGTGCTCTCTGATAYACCTCAGAAAATATTTTAAGRGTAYACAGAATATTTTGAGTTGGAAGGGRCCCACAGGGATCATCGAGGCCAAGCCTTGAGTGAGTGGCCCATCTGGGCTCAAACCCACAAGCTTGGCTTTATCAACACCTTGTTCTACCCAACTGAGCCAGCCTCTGACACATCAGTTTGCTGGATTTGGGGGAGAAAAGGATTCTTTTGTCCCTCTTTTCAGTCCCATCTCCCACATCAAACAGTGCTCAGTGCTCCTCCCCTTGCTGGTGCAGTCAGTGGTTAATGTGGATGAAGATGGATTGTGCAGTCACCCAGCAGCAAGGTGCTTCTAACAGAGCTATCAAAAGTGCATTTTCCCTGTGTTCCCAGAGTGCCTGTACATGTAATTTGTCAGCCTAGCCAAGGGCTTTGGAAGCAAAGTCACCTTTCCCTGTGTACAGTGGATTTCAGCTGTAGCCTCTAAGACTAAACTGCCATTTTATTCAACACTACCTTTTTTTATTTGTTTCATTTTGCCTTTTCTACCCCAACTGCTCTAGCATGTCTGTCTTTTCTGGAGGTGCTTATCTACCAAGTGTGTGCAGTTTTGTTTCAGGGCTGGAATGAAAAAAAGAAACCTGCTTGTGTTGGAAGAAGTTGTTATTTGTGGGGAGCTCACTGTGTCCTTGTCTTACAACAGCTCTGTTTGATAAATCTGAAGTTTGAATTATACCATCTTCCTTTGTCTCCTTCCCTCAGGGTCACTCTGGGTGTGTCAACTGTCTGGAATGGAATGAGAAAGGAGAGTAAGTATATGGCTTCATTTGGGGGATAACAGAGCCATAACCCCAGGTTTCCCAAGGGTAGGATGTGGGGCATCTCATCATAAGCAGCTGCTTCCCATTTCTAGAAAAGTGGAGCTCAGGCTCGAAGTTTGAGCTGTAGTAGAGCTCACGCTTCAAAAGGAGCTTTATTTTGTTAAATATATCTGATTATTATTAGAAATGCCCCTTTAGTGAGTTCAGAAGGGAAATGGTCAGACTAAGAAGTGGAGATTGGAGGCTGCTTCTCTTCTCTTAAGTGGTATTATGGATTATAATGGATCTTTAGGATTTGCCCAGCTGGTGGTGACATTTCCCCACCCCCTTCACCACGCTGTTCAAAGCTGCTGCTGGGGGACAAATATCCAAGGGAGGGAGTTGAGAATTCACCCCTCTGCAGTTTCAGAGGGAGACTAAAGAGCAACTTCCATTGGCCAAGGGAATGCATGAGAAGTGAGTGGATGGAAGGAAGAGTGGGTATTTCTGGATGTTTCTTACAACATCCAAAGTCTGCCCTCTGGTACTCTTCAGAATTATTTACCAGTGAAAATTTCATGGCTTGAAAGAGATTTGGCTACAAGGAAATGTAAGTTTAAAAGAGCTGGGAGTTGCAGATGTCAGATTGCTTTGGTTCAGATGCAGAAGGATGGACAAGGCCAAGAGCACCTTGCAGTGACTTGACCCTTTGAAAGCATTTTGTGGTTCACCCTGGGACTGCCTGGGCACCTCTGGAGCCTGGCAATGAATGCCTTGGAGTGCTCAGGGATGATGAGGAGCAGTTAACACAGCCAGGGTGATAGGGAAGGTGGGGCCCCTGCCCGTTGTTGTTGAGCAAACGCTCCTGTTTTCCCAGCAGAATCCAGGGCAGGTGCCTCAGCTGCATTTTCCTGGAGCTGCTCTGCTTTAGCTCCTTGACCTGGCTGAAGGGATGGTGCACAGGAAAGAGGGAGCAAATGGGCTGGTTAGGGCTGAATTCACTCCGTGGATGTCTTTGGTGGTCACACAGCTCCACAAACCCGGGCACGGGGTGGAACAGAAGAATTCACGGTGCACATTTATCTCCTGTTTGTTTCAGCTTATTGGCCTCTGGCTCTGATGACCAGCATACCATTGTGTGGGACCCTCTGCACCACAAGAAACTCCTTTCTATGCACACAGGACACACTGCAAACATCTTTTCTGTCAAGGTACGTGGTTAGAGGGAAAGAGCAGCTGACAAAATCAGCAGCCAGAGCAGCCAGGGGATAAATCCTCGCTGGGAAACATTTTCCTGCAAGAAGCTTCCCTCCCCATCCCCCAGAAAAATTTTAATTATAGGGAAAAATGGATGAAGTCTAATCCTGCACTTAGTTTGTGCAGATCCCAGGCTAATTCTGTCTGAATTGGAAGGAAATGTTTGTAGCCCATTGGGATGTGTAATGAGGGCACCCTTGTGTAACTCTTGAGTGTGCACACTGACCTGTGCAAGAGGGAATAACGTGGGGTAGCCCGTGTTCCTGGAGCAGAATTGTGCTCTGGACTGCCAGGATGTCCATGTGAGCAGTGTGAGTGTCCCCTGGGTGTCCCCTGGGTGTCCCCTGAGTGTCCCCTGAGTGTCCCCCTGTCCCACAGTTCCTGCCGCACTCGGGGGATCGGATCCTCATCACGGGAGCTGCGGATTCCAAGGTGCACGTCCATGACCTGACTGTCAAAGAGACTGTGCACATGTTTGGAGATCACACCAACAGAGTGAAGCGCATTGCCACGGCTCCCATGTGGCCAAACACCTTCTGGAGTGCAGCAGAGGATGGGTTAATCAGGTACACAATTCAGCTGCTTTGGGTTGGGAACCATCACAATGTGTGCTCTGCACAGACCTGAAAAGAGGCTGCTTCTGTACTAAACAGCTTAAACTCATCTCTCCCTTCCCTGAAACTGGAAAGATTTATCTTGTAGAGTCATAAATACTCTTCTTAGCTCCTCCATTTTCCTCACTGCTGGAAAAGGAGGCCAGAAAAGGAACAGGTTATTACTCAGAGTTTAATTTGGATCTTGAATAAGTTTGTGCACATTATAGATCTGCATTTAATGATTCTCCAGATACTGAGACCCTACTGTGTGTTGAAGTGAGGTGCTTCCAGTAACCTGTGGCACAAATGACTGTTGTTCATGTCCTTGGTGTCATCTCTCTTAGCTGTGTCAGGTTTAGGATTTAAGGATTTCAGGAAAAGGTTCTTCTCCCGGAGAGGTGGGGCACTGACCAGGCTCCCCAGGGAATGGTCACAGCCCCAAGGCTGCAGAGCTCCAGCAGCTTTGGACAAGGCTCTCAGGCCCAGGGGGGGATTGTTGGGGTGTCTGTGCAGTTCAGGGGTTGGACTGGATGATTGTTGTGGGTGCCCCCAGCTCAGGACATGCCATGATTCTGTTCTGCTGCTCGTGCCACCCCGTGACCTCCCTTTGCAGACAGTACGACCTGCGGGAGAACAGCAAACGCTCCGAGGTGCTGATAGACCTGACCGAGTACTGTGGGCAGCTGGTGGAGGCCAAGTGCCTGACAGTGAACCCCCAGGACAACAATTACCTGGCCGTGGGGGCCAGCGGGCCCTTCGTGCGGCTCTACGACATCCGCATGATCCACAACCACAGGTACCAAACACACACACCCGGCCCTTGGGGCACATCTCTGCTGCTGCTGCTGCTGCTCAGGGATCTGTGCAGGGTCTGCTGGCAGCAGGGATGGCAGGGACCAGCACTTGCTGCTTCTGGGGAGTGTGACAGAGCTTTTTGTGTCACCCAAAGCCTTTGTGATGAGTACCCGGGGATGGTGTGAGGCTGGGAGCCCACAGGAGTGCTGGTGTAGCTCAGCATTGCAGCAGCTGAACACTGTGCTTATGATGGGGCTGTTCTTGTCTTGTGCAGGAAAAGCATGAAGCAGAGCCCTTCAGCCGGGGTGCACACGTTCTGTGACCGCCAGAAACCCCTCCCGGATGGGGCAGCACAGTACTACGTGGCAGGTACGGGGTGGCACTGGGGTGGCACTGGGGTGGCACGGGGGTGGCACTGGGGCGGCACTGGGGTGACACTGGGGTGGCACTGGGGAGGGCACTGGGGTGGCACTGGGCTGACTGGGGTGGCACTGGGGTGACTGGGGGAACTTCACTGCCTGAGGAAACAGAGTTCTACCATCACACACAAACCCCCTCCTCACAGGATCTGTTCCATAGGATGTTCCATGGAACTGCAGGTTGTTTCACAGGGTGGTGAGCTGGCCTTGCTGCTGCTTGTCCAGCATGAATGTGTTTTTGTCACTCTTACTGGAACGTCAGGGATTGGATATAACCTGGGCTCTATAGGCTTGCCTGGAACTGGTCCCAGCAAAGCTGTTGTTCAAAATCTTCCTGGCACAGAAGTGACTTGTCCTCATCCTGCAGATGAGTTATCAGTGATGCAGTGTCTGAGCAATCTAGATGACATTCTTCTCCAGTGCTCATTATTTACTATCTTTTTCCCCAAAATGTTCGGGTGTGGGGTTTTTTTTTTAATATCTCAGGCCAGCATGTTCAACAGACCAGTTCTGACAGTCCTGCTCCTGATGAGTCCCACTAGAGGATTCCTCAGGTCCTCTGAATTGGTCATGCAACACATCTGCTGTCTGGAGAACAGAACCTGTGTGTGAGCTGAATATTTAGAAGCCTGGTTTGGTTGTGCTGAGGGCTCCATTAGGGAAACCTAAGTAGGGGGTTGAGGATGGAGGTATTTGCAGATGGCCACAAATCACAAAAGCCAAATCCTAGTGAATCCCTAAAACTGAGATGTGCTGGGTTCTGCAGGTTCACTGTTAACAAGGCAGTTATGATTCCTGTCTTCATGTGGAGGTGGCTGTGCAAAACTGGAGCCATGGAATTCTGGAATGGTTTGGGATGGAAGGGACMTTAAAGCTCATYSYRTTCCACCCCTGCCMTGRGCAGGGMCACCTTCCACTGGCCCAGGGTGCTCCAAGTCCCATCCAGGCTGGCCTKGGRCACTGCCAGGGATGGGRCAGTGATAACCCMCAGCCTGAGCYTGTTTTGGCTCCAATAAACAGCAGGGAATGGAAGATCCCATGACTTTGCTCTTGTCAAAGGCAAATCCAGCAGTCAGGAGTGAAGTGAAGGCAGTAACTGTGACTTTCCTCTCCACAGGGCACCTCCCAGTGAAGCTCCCAGACTACAACAACCGCCTGAGGGTCCTGGTGGCCACCTACGTCACCTTCAGCCCCGATGGCACCGAGCTCTTGGTCAACATGGGAGGGGAGCAGGTGAGGAGCAGGGAAACTTCACCCTGGGTCACTGAACACTGCTGTGGGCTCTTGGAAACAGCTACAGCAGCCTCTCTGTGGGTAATGTGATAGATTTTAAACTGCTTTCTGATTAATTCAGCCTAAATACTTGGGATTAGGGATATATTTGTTACGCTGTCACTGATCAAAGTTAAACCACGTTCTGTTGTGGTTTTCCAATTCACATTTCACCCTCTGGAAGAGGGGAAAGAAAATAAACAAAACCAGTTCTGGAACTGACCTTTGCTGACCTAGAAAGGATTTCATAACTCATTCTTGAAACATCAAACTGCTTCTGTAATAGAATGTAGTGAATAAGGAACTTGGAGAAGCAAGGGCCTTCACCTGGAATATTGATTGCTTTAATTTTAAGCTCTGGGTGATATTCATGGATCTTTTGTAAAGCCTATCAATGGAATGAGAAAATCCTCCTGACAGCATTAATCAGCTTGGATTAAACAGAACCTTTGCTTGTGGGCAGGTTGCACTGTGCTTGTCCTCTGCAGCTCTTTCCCACACAGGCACTCACTCCCTTTAGGAAAAGGTGAACCCTGGCTCTGGCCTGGGCTGTCCATTGCTGGCCCAGTACAGCTGTAAATTAGGATTTCACAGGGCTGCTTTGGCAGTTCCTCAGGAAATCCTGGTTTATCTTAGATACACTCTTCCCTCAGTTCCCTGTCCCACCTCTTTTCTGTCAATTAGTGTTTGGTTTCTTCATTAGCACTGTGCTAATTGAAATACCCTAGTTGCCTAATTGAAATATGAAGCTTTCTGAGCGGGTCAGTGGTCAGGTCATCTTTTACATTCTGCAGGTGTGGAGTTAGACCAGGTTCCTGTTTCTCAGAGTTGCTTTCTCTGAACCCAGTGCTGGACTGAAAACACCCCAGTTACTGCTGCCATCAAATGTGTGTCCATCTGTAAATGAGGTTCCCAGTGGGAAAATTGGAAGTAGCAAACACAAATGTGGAACTGTGCACAGTTGAGCCCTCTTTTCTTTCTGACTTGAGCATCTGTGTTTTGCAGCCTTGTCTCATGCTCTTTTTTCCTTTCCTTAGGTCTATTTGTTTGATCTGACATACAAACAGCGACCATACACCTTTCTCCTCCCAAAGAAGTGCCACACTTCAGGGGGTAAGTGTGATGCTGTCACAAAGGGAGTGAACAGCAGAGTGAAGTTCTGTACCTCACAACTCATTTTCAGGCTGCAGGAGGAGAATGAAGCGAGGTGTGGGTGTTGCTGGGCTCTTTCTGCAGTGCAGTTCATGCCCTGAGCTCCAAAATCCTTGTGCAGAGGCACAAAGCGTGTCCTAAAGGCAGGAGTGACCTGTGGAGAGGGGTGTTGGGGGTGTGTGTGTGTGAGTTGAGAGTGCCTAAAGCTGTGCACAAGGATTAAGCAGACTTTGTCAGTGTCCTGGTATCCTCCCAGACCATTCCAGCATTCCATGATACTGCAACTGTGGCCTAAAATCAGTCAAAGGTACTTCCCTTCAAGCACTTAGTTCTTTGTGTGTCTGGTTTGCTGATCTAGAATTGTGTTGCAAAGGAGACTGCAGAGATTTGTAAATAGAAGAAGCAGTAAATAAAGAGGACAAATCAAATCCAGGGGCTGGAGAAAGTGTGGCACGTGGAATCGTGGAAGTTTTGTTTCTGCTCTGATGGGGCTGTGATGTTGGCTCAGCTCTGCTGTAAAATGCACTCTGAGTTTGTGTAATCTTTGCATAGCTGTGTATGTTTATTTTCTAACTTTCAGAAGTGCAGAATGGAAAGACCTCTACCAATGGAGTGTCCAATGGGATCCATCTCCACAGCAATGGATTCCGCCTGTCGGAGGGCAGGGCACACGTGAGGTGAGGGCACAGCTGCCCCTCAGGGCACCCTCAGCCTTTGTCCTTGTTGTCCTTGTCCTGTGCCTCTGGCCAGGGTGAGGCACTGCCAAAACGGTGTCAAATGCAAATCCTCTCCCCTGTTGGTGGATTTTACATGGCCTCTGTCCTTGGGGCTGGATTGGCCTCTGGTGCCCTCCCTGTAACAGGAGTCACACCAGGCAAGAGCATCCTGGGAGAAATTGCCCTGTGTGTGAGGATGTTTTCTCTCTTACGATGAATGAGGGTGGACAAAACTAAGAAATGATTTTTCAAGCCTGGAAGCAAAGTGTCCCAAGTGGTTGTTGCTTCCTGGCCTGCAGGAGCTGTGTGTTGGTGGTGGCAGAGGCTGCCAGGTGGAGGAACCTTGCTTCCCTTTGCCATTTTTTGGGCACTTGCCTGCTGCAAACTGAACTGAAGCAGCCAAAATCGTTGTGTGACAACGCTGTAATCACTGCTGCCATTCCTAGCATGGGAGCTGGGACTGACTGGAGCCTCTTCTGTTGCTCCAGCTGATTTCTTTCTTTAAAACCAAAGTGCATTTTGGGCAAAGCAGCAGCAGCAGCCCTTCTTGGTGGCTGTTTTTGCTGCAGCTGATGAGCCTTGGTTCCAAGTCAAGACTCTTATTTAACACCATATAAGGGTAGTCTGGGATATCCGTGACTCTGGTGGAGAGTTTCAGCTCCTCTCCTCTAGATGGCCCCTCCGCAGCAGCAGCAGCAGCAATCGGATGGAATTTGGGTTGGGAGCCTGGGCCTGCTGAGCTCACATCGTCTGCATTTGCATTGTTGTGCATGGCTGCAGGAGGATTGGGAGCAGTGTTTGTGCAGTCGAAACAAAGATGTGGTGGTGAAGGCTGATGGTTAAAATACACAATTTGGAATGTGTCTCTGTAGATGAAGAGAAAATGGAAAATCAAATGATGGTCACACTGATGTAGTGACACTGGCAGAGGGTGGGGAGCCCTGGCACAGGTGCCCAGAGCAGCTGGGGCTGCCCCATCCCTGACAGTGCCCAAGGCCAGGCTGGACAGGGCTTGGAACACCCTGGGAGAGCAGGAGGTGCCTTTAAAGTCTCCTCCAACCCAAATAATGCTGGGATTCTGTGGTCAAGACCAAACTTTCCTCTTAAACTCAGGGTCTTTGGAGTTCAGAGTCCCTTTTGCCTTTTCCTGAATCTTTTATTACCAAGAACTAAACACTGCAGGCTGTGACCTGAAGTTAAGGCTGTTCTGTTCCACTCACCTGTGCTCCCTTGTTCCCCTGCAGCCCCCAAGTGGAGTTGCCTCCATACCTGGAGAGGATCAAGCAGCAAGCCAACGAGGCCTTTGCGTGCCAGCTGTGGACCCAGGCCATCCAGCTGTACAGCAAGGCTGTGCAGAGAGCCCCCAACAATGCCATGCTCTATGGCAACAGAGCTGCTGCCTACATGAAGCGCAAGTGGTAAGGGCCAGTGCCATCCAGGGGATGTCCAGGGCCACTTTGGTGAAGGTGCTGCTTTCCCTCAGTGTGGGATGGGTTGGGATATCAGCCTGAGCCATGACTGGGCACCCCTGGCACGAGGGGATGGCACAGCAGCCTGTGGTGGAGAGATTCTGGGAGGTAACAACCCGTTGTTCCACTCACTTGTGTGCTGAGTGAAGTCCTGATCCTTTCCTGTTTAAAAAGAGACCCAAAATCCACATCTGAGTCACAGCATTCTGGGTGTCTCCAAGGGTGTCAGTGTTTCTCTGGGTGGTTCTGTTCTGCATTAGAGAAAGGCTCTGAATCTGCTGTCAACAATGACGTAATGGTGACTGTGCTTTACAACATCTCGTGGCACAGGGCTGTTGTAGGGAGGGTTGCTGGGGTTGTAGGGCTGTTGTAGGGCTGTTGTAGTGCTGTTGTAAGGCTGCCTGTGGTTGCTGACATGCAGACACTCAGAGCTGGTGGTTCCTGTGTTAGCCCAGTTAACCCACGCTCCTCTGGACTGGAAACCTCTGGAGGGTTCTGGGGAGGGGCAGATCTTTGCAGTCTGGAGGGGGTTCTGCCCTGATGGTTGCAAAACACCCTGTCAGCCTCTGCAGTAGGCAATGTCTGCTCTGACCAGTGGCCAGAGCTGCATCTGCAAGATACAGCTGAGTTATTTTAGTGCCTGTCCCCTTGAGCAGAGTAGCACTGAGTAGCATGACTTGCCATTAACATATTTAAAATAGCTGTGGTCCTTCATCTCCATTTGCTTTGTGAGGATATCCTTCTCCTCTCCCTGCTGAAATCCCCAGTATGAATTCTCCTCTCTTCTTGCCAAGATAAAGAGCAGCCAGCAGTTGTTGTGACTGTTGGTAACTGGCCTACTGGCTGTTTTGCAATAGCAGAGATTTGGGAGCTGCCTCAAAAAGACTTCAGTGTTCAGAGGGAGAAGAACAATAGGTTGGGATTAAGGGATGGAACACAGAACCTGAGTGCTGATCTCATGAATGGCATTTTTCGTATAGGAATCGTTTTTCCCAAAGGGTGTTGGCACATCTGAACCTTTGAGTGTGTCAGCTCCTGCACTGCCACAGTCTGGGGAGCAGGAAGATGTGAGAAAAACACACAGTGGGGTTCTGTGGGGGGTAGGATTTAAATAGCACTGGGCTGATACCTTGCAGGTGCAGGAAAGGGGCACTTTTCTGCTAGGAACAGTTTGTGGTGTGTGGAGAAGGTGTCTGGGATGTCAGTGAGCAGGACCAAAGGCAGACAGTGACCCAGGCTGAACCCCCATGTCTCTGAGGTGTTCTTGATGTCTGCAGTAGAACAGGTACAGGCCACCCTCAGAACCCTGCAGCTCCTGCTTTGGCCTTGTTCTCTGAGTAGCAGAGAGGAGGAAAAAAGAAAGGTCTGTAATTTCCTAACCTGCTCTTGTTCATCTCCCTTAAGATGCTGCTCATATTTTCCAGCACTTCCAAGGCTGTCCTTTAAAGTTTTGCTCCTAAAAGCCAACTGCATCCCCCTCTGGATTGCTCTCAGCAGTCCACATTGGCAGTGCTGAGCTGATTTCTAGTTTTGCACAAGCTGAATAAATCCTATAACAGAGGGAGAACTCAGAGCCTGCTTTACATTCCACCATGCCCATTTTCACACCAGTCTGTTGTGCTGCCTGACACTGGTGGTTGAGCTTGAAGGATGTTTGAGGGTGGCAAAGCAGTTAAAAGTGCAGTCAGGTGTGCAAATGTGAGACACCTGTCTGTCACCCTAACAGGTAATTCTAAAAGTGCCTTTGCTGCATGTCCTGAGCTAACCCTGGCCACGCTGCAAAGGCGGCACTGGAGAGGGCCCATGGGCAGAGCACTGCACCCTCTGCTGTGCTGGGCAGTGACCAGTGCCCCTCTGGACAGGAGGGAACTGAAGGTGAATGGTTTGTAAAATTTGAAACCATTCCATACACTTCCAGGGATGGGGCAGCCACAGAAGGGCATGTGGGTTACAAGTATGAAATATTATTATTATTATTAATAACCACCAAACGAAGCCTTGGCACTCTGTTTAGGCAGAGTGTGGTGCCTCTGAGCAGTTGTGGTGCCCCAGGAGGGTCTGCCCTGAAAGCTGAGCTGAGCAGCACCCAGGGCTCAACAAGTCCCTCCTGATTGCCACAGCCCCAGAGCGCAGGGAATGGGGCTGTAAACAGGACACAAATACCCAGCACAGCCCAGTCCGAGGTCCTGCTCGCTCCCAAAACTCCCGAGTTTTTCCCATGGAGGTGAGAAGGATCCTGCTGGAGCTGTGTGTCCCTGTGTGCTGAAGCTTTCAGGCGTGGCCCCGGCTCTGTGTGTCCACACAGGGGCACGATTGAGCTGTGACAGGGACCCGCCTGGCACGGCAGGGCTGCGCTGCTGCCCAGAGGGTGCTGCATCCTCCATCTTCAAAGGACTTCCCGAAATGTGCTGCAGCAGGGAGCTCTGCTCTCGTGGATTTAAAATGGCAGGTCAGGGCTGGCGGGTGTGCTCAGAGCCCAGAGCTGCCCCGGGGCTCTGCACAGCCCTTGGGGAGGCTGGGCTGCCTCAGGTGCTGCCCCCAAATCCCAGCAAATGCTGTTAGTGAGCTCCTGGCTGTGGGATTGTGGACAGAGCTGGAAACAACAGGCTGGGAGTGAGCTGAGGGCTGGGAAGCAGCAGTGGAAAATGTTTGCTGTTCCTGCTGGGGCTGGCTAACGCAGCGCTCCCTTCTCCTCAGGGATGGGGACCATTATGATGCTCTGAGGGACTGCTTGAAGGCCATATCCCTAAATCCGTGCCACCTGAAGGCCCATTTCCGCCTGGCCCGCTGCCTCTTTGAACTCAAGTACGTGGCAGAAGCACTGGAGTGTCTGGATGACTTTAAAGGGAAGTTTCCAGAACAAGCACACAGCAGTGCCTGCGATGCCCTAGACAGGGACATCAACGCTGCCCTGTTCTCCAAGAGTGATAACGGTGAGTGCTGCAGCTCCGGGGCTGGGCCAAGGTTACACTGGAATCTGATGAGCACACAAGGACTTCCCTCCTTAAACCGCCCCTCTGAAGCAAAGCTCCAACTTCTGAGAGAGATTGATTGTTGCTGTGAGCCAAAACTGGCCTGAGCCTGTTGTTTGCTTGCGCCTGGTCCTGGTGTGCTCCTGAGTGAGAGGGTGATGAAAGGAGTCTGATGCAGCCAGGAGATAATGTGGAAGGAAGGAAGCTGGTGCTCTGAGCCCTGCTCGCTGCTGGAATTGTCCTTAACTCTTCTCTAAGGCTGCTGGGCTCTCCTGGGGTGGTTGTTTTGGTTTAGGACTCCTCTGAAGCTGAGGAACATGTGTTGTCCTTGCAGCTGAAGACAAGAAGGGTGGTGGCCCCATCCGGCTGCGAGCCACGGGCCGCAAGGACTCCATCTCCGAGGATGAGATGGTGCTGAGGGAGCGCAGCTACGACTACAAATTCCGCTACTGTGGCCACTGTAACACCACCACGGACATCAAAGAGGCCAATTTCTTTGGCAGGTATGCTGGCAGAGGGTGCAGGGCAGGAGTGAGCAGCAGCAGGATGCTCTGTTCCGTGGGATAAAACCTCACTTGTAGCCCCTTGTGACCGTTCAAAAAGTGACACAGACACTGCTTTGGAGGGTTGGGAAAAGCTGACAGGAGCCCTTCTCTTGTGTGGCTGTGTGAGCAGCTGATCAGGAGCACATCCACAGAGGACCTGCTTGGGTTAGAATTTCAGAAATTCACTTGGGATTGAAAACGGGGCTCCTGGGGCTGCAGGGAGCCAGCATGGGAAGCTTTATCTGGATCTGTTGGTGTGAGGTTCTCAGCCTGCTGAGGACAGGAGCCATGGGAGGTTCTCAGTGTGCTGAGGTTAGCAGCCATGGGAGGTTCTCAGCCTGCTGAGGTTAGCAGCCATGTGAGGTTCTCAGTGTGCTGAGGATAGCAGCCATGGGAGGTTCTCAGTGTGCTGAGGATAGCAGCCATGGGAGGTTCTCATTGTGCTGAGGACAGGAGCCATGTGAGGTTCTCATTGTGCTGAGGACAGGAGCCATGGGAGGTTCTCAGCCTGCTGAGGATAGCAGCCATGGGAGGTTCTCAGCCTGCTGAGGATAGCAGCCATGGGAGGTTCTCAGCCTGCTGAGGATAGCAGCCATGGGAGGTTCTCAGTGTGCTGAGGATAGCAGCCATGGGATGTTCTCAGCCTGCTGAGGATAGCA